ACTCAAATTATTATTTCAGTAGTTCTTAATATGTCAAGCGTCTATATGTAAAGAAAAGCCAAAAACTATGGTTTTTATCATTAAATGAAGATATAGCCTAAAGATGCTTTGCGGGCTTTACGGCATAACCAGGTTTCATTCGCCCGGGTCCCTAGGCAGTTCCCCCCCCCCCCCTTGTCGGCGGGCCTGCCTGCACGTTATCTTTTTCCGGGATTTTTATTTACATAATACCTCGTGATAATCAAAGCTGGATATATCTTCCTAGGTTTCAATAATTTTCGAACGGTTTCAAAATTCCAGAGACATTATGCCTGGGTCCCGAGAACCTTGGCGCGTGTGCACTTCTCTTGTCAATGGCCCCGCCAACTTTATTTGAAAATATTTAATAAAGCTTCCGTATGCGTCACAGTGATTTAATCATAAAACTAGAATAGAATGATTGTTTGTTTTGAATTTCGCGCAAAGCTACACGAGGGCTATCTGCGCTAGCCGTCCCTAATTTAGCAGTGTAAGACTACAGGGAAGGTAGCTATTCATCACCACCCTCCACCAACTCTAGGACTACTCTTTAACCAACGAATACTGGATTAACCGTACCATTATAACGCCCCCATGGTTGAAAGGACAAGCATGTTTGGTGGGATGGGGATTAAATAATTTTTCGTCGTACATCCGGATTGTTTTTAATTACGTCATTAATGGTAAAACAGAACTTTTATTGGGAGTGCACAGATCATTCGTTAATGATAAATCAAAACAGTAACACATGTTGCCACATAATTACAGAAAACATCTTTTAGAATAACATTTTTCTTATAAATTTTTACAGAATTCATTCTCTTAATTTTAACTTTTTTTTCGTGTGATTCAAATAACTAACTTATTGATATAATTGTAGCAGTAATTTTGGTAGTTATTTCGTATACTATAGTTTATCTTTCCTGAAGCAGTTTTGTGTTTGATAAAATTTATCGAACTATTTTTTCCGTAACAGCGTCATCTAGTGGCCACCAGAGATAGAAGTGGAAAAACAGCTCTACATTATTGCACAGAAAACAGAGATATAACTTGTGCTGACCTCATCTTGAAAACTGAACCCAGCCTGATAAACGTAAAAGATGAAGAAGGCTATTCGGCTCTCCACCTTGCAGTAATTTGTGGTAACAAGCTTATGGCAAAATATCTAATTGACAAGGGTGCTGACGTCAACAGTGTTGACAATGAAATGCACACGTGCGTCCACTGGGCAACAGGTACAGTGACAATAAATCCTTAGCTTCTCGTTCTTTTAGGCTAACAATATCAGCATTAAATAAATAAATAAGTTACTCGAAATAATATTTTAAGAAATATTCTGCTTCTCAAGTCTAACTTCAATCTCTTTCTCCAATATATTTTTACAACTATTATATTAACATCTTTGCTGACTTATAACGAACGAAAACGGGCAACTAGTAGGGTTTTTTTTTTCTATAGAAACTATGGATGCACGGGTACCCGTCCAGATATTCAGCCCCGGCCGGGTATTGGGCAACCCTGTACTACTCGGCTCCGGCAGAGTGTCAAAGTTAGGAATCTAATCTTTGTGACAACTAACACGGTACTGAAAGTTACAGTCAATAATTGGTTTAGTTATAAAAAAAACTTGTTCCGAGCAACAAAAACTGAACGCCCGCTGAAAGTCGTGGATTCCGAAAACAATAGGGGTTAATAACATGCATGACTTGAGAAGTGGATTTCTGGGGAAGGTGTGAGTTTGAGAACAATATGGGTTAGGGTTTGGGAAGTTGGGGCTAGGAATTGAAAGTTGAAAGTCAAAGTTGAATGTTCTGTTGGTGATTATTCAGTTAAGCCCGCCAGTAGCACAGCGATATGTCTGCGGACTTACAACGCTAGAAACCGGGTTTCGATACCCGTGGTGGGCAGAGCACAGATAGCCCATTGTGTAGCTTTGTGCGTAAATTCAAACAAACAAACAAATATTCAGTTAAATGTAATAAATGTCAATTTTGTTTTTGTTTTGGGGAGGGAGGCAAGGGGAGAGAACCCGGTCCCGGTCGACACCCGGCTCCGGCCGAAGCTTAGTAACCGGGTGCCTGGACCCGGTATTCGGCCAAATTTTACTACTCGTGCATCCCTAAAAGAAACTAAATGTTCAATGTAACTGGTAACTCACAATAAGTCTTAATTTTATCTCAGTAAGTTTACGGACTTACAAGGCTAAATTTGGGAATTCGATTTTCCGGGTGAACACAGCAGATAGCCAAATGTGGCTTTGCTCTAAAAAAAACAACAAAATAAGTAAATATTTTCTGTAATAATTCCATAAAAGAAAATCTACAGCTCATAAATTCTGTGTAAAACTCTAAAAACAAACAATTTAGAAGAAAAAAAAATTATTCGGTATCTAACATCATCAACTTTGCTTCTTCCTCGATCAGTTTGTGGTGAACTGGATTGTTTAGATATATTGATGGATGCCGGTGGAAACCCTGCTACACCAGACATCCACGGGGCTTATCCTATCCACTACGCTGCCCAGATGTGTGGGCCTAACGGTGAGATGGGCAATGATGTGACGCTAGGCCTTGCCGTTCTCCACAAGCTTCTAGCCCGAGGTGTGGACGTCAATGTTAAAGATAAAGATGGCCGCCAACCACTGTTGTGGGCAGCGAGTGCAGGTAAAATCAGTCGTAAATATTATTTTCTTATTATTTTAATAAGTGGCTGCAAGTTATTAGAAACTTAGCCTGTTAACTCGCACTTCACTTAGAATTTAAAATAAATCTCATGAAAGGAAGAAGAAAACGTTCTTTACCTTTAACAGTGTTAAAGCTACTCGATGGCTATCTGCGCTAGCCATCTCTAATTTAGCAGTGATACTAATAGACTAGAAGGAAGGCAACTAGTGAATACCACCCACCACCAACTCTTGGTCTAGGATATATATATATTTATCTTGAAGGGCGGAGGGGGGGATAAAAAATGAATACTTTCACTTCGTTGGTAGTCACAATGTGGAGAATTTTTTACTATTTTAAATGTAAGGGAAGCAGAGCTCTTCAATGGCCACGCCACCCAGGTAGACACACTTCTACGTAGATACTGTTGCTAAGCGATTCCTGAGTTCCAAAGGGCAACTGTTAAAGTTATAAATAATATCATTAACGTGATTCTAATTAATAATTAAATAAATTCATATTATCCTAGTACATTAATAGCAGACCTTATAATTTTACAAAATGTATTTACGTTGGACCGGTGTTTGCATGTTCGTCGATAATATTTTGGCTGGATTAAGTTTGTTAAGATTGCAGATATTAATTATTCAAAATTTAAACTTCGTGTCGTTTTATACAGACTTTGCACACGTTGAGCAGATGTGTTTCATAATGATGGCGACTCGCCATGAACTGTACATTTCACGTCTATGTCGGAATGTCCTGTTGTTTACACGTAAGAGTAAGAAGTGTAAGATAAACATATGAAGTTAAATAAAGAGGAATGGAGGCAGATTAACACCTAACACACAGGAATATAAGGAAGAAGTAACACCTAAAAAGGAAAATAAGGATGGATTAACACTTAAAACAAAGAAATGAGAACGGATTAACACACAAAATGGTAAAGATAGCTCTATTAATATTTTGCAATGTTTTATTTTTGTATAGATATAAATTAGATAGATTTCAATTAATTATATTTATCATAAGACAGGCCTTTTTTAACATTATATTCTTTATTCAGTTCCTTGAGGCTTTTCAAGAAGAAAAGTAAAGTGTATAATAATACATCAACCACACTATATCTGCTATATTCATCTTACTAGAATGAGCGTAGCGTGTGTATATATATATATATGTATCTATATATGTACGTGTCCGAAATAATAGATACGACGTTGCGTCATCTATTGAATGGCACCACAAATAAAAATCAATAACAAATTTCACACTTTGGATATTCAAGACTTACATAATTAGAAAAATAACTGTGGTATGTGCAACAATCATTTCTTTATAACAAAACACAATTTCAAATAACAGTACTCTCCTCACAACAAGAACATAACTTTCACTATGACTGTACGTGAGGGTTTGATTATATCTTTATTGAGGTAATTTGTAAATATAATACTAAAAATGGAGTTATTACAAAACAAAATTACTTTTTCAATAAAGGGTACCTCTTTTAATATGCAAAAACATTACAGTTTATATCAGCACAATCTGAACACTTTTCCCATGCAATATTTCCCAGAAAAAATCATTTTTTAGAAAATGTTCATTTTTTCTACATTTTTTTTTTCAATGAGGTATAAATACTACGATTAATAATTACTAGTAAAAACAGCCACCCGTAGGACGGCGTTTCTGTTAATTATAACAATGCTTCATCAGATTAGAAAATTCGTTCACACCATAACAATTGTTGGTGTAACAAATGACTTACATAATTCGTTCACACCATAACAATTGCTGGTGTAACAAATGACTTACATAATTCGTTCACACCATAACAATTGTTGGTGTAACAAATGATTTACATAATTCGTTCACACCATAACAATTGTTGGTGTAACAAATGACTTACATAATTCGTTCACACCATAACAATTGTTGGTGTAACAAATGACTTACATAATTCGTTCACACCATAACAATTGTTGGTGTAACAAATGACTTACATAGATAGTATCCAAAAATTTGGAAACACTTTTGAAAAATCATACCGAGAAAATCGCTTCATGTAGAGACACGTGGTTTGTTACACGTGCAAGAATATGAGCACCCTGTATAATAGGCCTAATACTGACGCCTTATGGCAAGTATAATTAGTTATAGGGTAATTTAACATTTCTGGGGAAACTAGAATGAGGAGCATACGATTATTTGCGACAACTTGCCTTCAACGGGAAAGATAGAAATTACAACAAGCTACCATCCATAGTTAGGTGGATCTGGGAGTGATGGGCGTTGCGAACACACGAGCGCACTGTTTTTATATCCAATAATATGCCGTCTCTGGAGCAATATAATCCAATAACATTTGTGAAGTCTTGGCAAAACAGAAGAGTTGCAATTGCAAATGCTTGCTTGTCCAGGAAGCACAAAGAGGAATATTTGTGAATACCTTTTAAAGATTCCTGACAAGTCTGTGCATGTCTCAATGCAAGGTTTTTTGTTGTTGTTTTTTTTACTATTTTGATGGCAGTTTGGTATATGTTTCTTTTCTAACAAATGTAATATTTAATTAATCAAATTTTGCACTTGATGGTTTTTTTAAAGTTTTCCAAGAGGAACGACCTAATGGATCAGACTTTCACTTTAATAATCACTTCTTGTCATTTTTTTTTCTGAAGAGCCCAGACCTAGTAAAACGTCTTGTTCCTCAGAAAGCAGTGACGCCATCGTTGCCTTGGTGAACGCTGGAGCTTCGGTGGCGGCTGAAGACAAGGACGGTTTAACAGGTAAGAATATTTAATTTGTGTTAATTACTACCTTCATTGTATATCTTATTTGGTAGTTTCAACCTGAACGGCACCTTATCTGACACATGAGCAAGTCAGAACCCCAAAAGTTCAAGTATAGCCAACCCAAGTTTAGAACTGCTGACCGGACGGAGAACAATCGGCTGTTATTAACCAATAACAGGACTGACTGTCGAGACTATAACATTCCAATACACAATCACAACTCACTTGTCAAGCTAACCACTGAGACACATTCCCGGCCTTTTATCATAAAGGTGAAGGACTTCTTAATCACACGGTCAACAGATCGGTAACCTAATGATTCATGGCTCGCATCCCATTCCGCATTTTTGGGCCATCAGTGCGTTATAAGATGACATTAGAAAAGTCAATATCCAACCAAAGTACCGCATGGATAAACCACATTGAATCTTTACGCTGTGTTAAGGTGCTATATAAAAAAGTGCTAACATTTATTTCAACTCTGTGATCTGAACTTGCTCACATCCCCTGGGAAAATAGAAAGCATACGCATGGGTATATAGAGTATAATATCTACATAAAAAAACATACGTCTGTTTTCCACTTCTCAGCTCTGCACTGTGCAGCTAGCCGTGGGCACGTGGACTGCCTGGAAACCCTGATAAATCTGTGCGGTGCTGAAGTTGACAATATCGACAGTAACGGCTGTACGGCCTTATTCTTCGCCGTCACCTTGGGTCATGCTGATTGTACTCAGCTATTACTCCAACATGGTGCCGACCCTAACCAACAGGACAGGAAGGGAAGAACGTAAGTATTCTAATGCTTTCAGCTATTACTCTAACAGGGGGCCGATCCTAACCGACAGGAGAGGAAGGGAAGAACGTAAGTATTCTAAGGTACTCAGCTATTACTCCGACACGGTGACGACCCTAACTGACAGGACAGGAAGGTAAGAACGTAAGTTCTCTAATGTATTCAGCTATTACTCTAACAGGGGGCCGACCCTAACTGACAGGAAGGAAAGAACGTAAGTTCTCTAATGCTTTCAGCTATTACTCTAACAGGGGGCCGATCCTAACCGACAGGAGAGGAAGGGAAGAACGTAAATATTCTAAGGTACCCAGCTATTGCTCTAACAGGGGCCGACCCTAACCGACAGGACAAGAAGATAAGAACGCAAGTATTATAATGCACTCTGTTATTACTCCGACGACCCTAACCGACAGGACAGGAAAGGAAGAACGTAAGTATTCTAATGTACTCAGTTATTACTCAAACAGGGGGCCGATCCTAACCGACAGGAGAGGAAGGGAAGAACGTAAGTATTCTAAGGTACTCAGCTATTACTCCGACACGGTGACGACCCTAACTGACAGGACAGGAAGGTAAGAACGTAAGTTCTCTAATGTATTCAGCTATTACTCTAACAGGGGGCCGACCCTAACTGACAGGAAGGAAAGAACGTAAGTTCTCTAATGTATTCAGCTATTACTCTAACAGAGGGCCGACCCTAACTGACAGGACAGGAAGGGAACGTAAGTTCTCTAATGTATTCAGCTATTACTCTAACAGGGCCGCTAATAAAGCTTAATAGCTACTACATTTCCGTTAATGAACCTTGATAACTACTTCATTAGTACCACTAATAAACCTTGATAACTACTTCATTATTAGCACTAATAAACCTTGATAACTACTTCATTATTACCGCTAATAAACCTTGATAACTACTACATTATTAGCACTAATAAACCTTGATAACTACTTCATTATTACCGCTAATAAACCTTGATAACTACTACATTATTACCACCAATAAACCTTGATAACTACTACATTATTACCGCTAATAAACCTTGTTAACTACTACATTATTACCACCAATAAACCTTGATAACTACTACATTATTACCGCT